TCCCCTCCCCTCCCGCTGCCGAGAACCAGTGTGGTTTCCCAGTGGGGCTGCGGGGAAGAGGCCCCTGGGTGCTGCCTCGGCTTCTCTGTGCGCACTGGTCAGAGTGCCACCAGTCCTTGTCCCTCGTGGGGGTGACCCCCCTCCAGGCGGCTGCTGAGCGCCTTCCGAGCACTCCCACCAGCACCGTTTCTGGGGCGCGGCTGCACCCAGATCCCCTTTATAAGCAACAGAACTTGAAATGAAATCTCTACCGCACCTCTGAGTGGGGCCCTGACAGGTGAGAGGCAGAGTCGCCCGGGGGTCCCCAGGCCCTGCTGGCTGACCACAGGCTCCCTGGGGACTGAAGTGAGGGCCAAACCAGGAAGGAGCCAGACCGAGCCGGCTCGCAGGCGCTAGGTAGCCGAGCCCAGGCCTGCCGGACCCCCACGGACACCCCGCTCTCGGTCAGATGAGTGACCAGATGAGTGGCTGGCGCAGGGCTGCCCCCAAGAGGTTCTGTCCTGGCCCAAGACTGGGGAGGCGGCAGTGCGTGTTCAAAGGGAACTTTGAGGTGGGGAGGACGCCGGATTCCTGGGAGCTTCTTATCTCAGGGACCTGATAAGAGGGGGAGGGTTGGAGTCAGGCCGGATGAGGCAGCCAGGCTCTGAGGAAGGGGTGCGCACCTGTAGCAGCTGAAAAGGCAGGAAATGGGTCTCCCTGGAGCCGCAGACTGCCTCCCAGCCACCTCATTTTGAACTTCTGACCTCTGGCCTGTGAGGCAATAAAAGCCCTTTGTTTTAAGCTCTGAAGTTTGCAATGATTCGGTACAGCAGTGAGAGGAGCCACCGTGCCCTCCAGCGACTCCCCAGAGCCCTGCTGGCGCTTCAGGAGTTGGAGTGGGAAGCCGGGGGGAGGCTGAGGGGGAGGCGTGACGTCCCTGCCCGGGCCTCGCACACTTCTGCCAGCTAAGCTTGAGCACTGCGTTTTCTGGCAGCCAAAGCAAAGCAAAAAAAAGATGAACTATGTGACCAGCTGCCCTGGCCTGGGGTCAGGGAGGCGTCTTGAGGGCTGATCCCGCCCCGTCCTCCTGGGTACGTGAGACTCGTGCTCCCTGGGCCCGTGCGTGGTCTTCACCCCAGCTTCGCGCTCTCACTCGCTTCCTCCCCAGTCACTGGGGCCGAATCACTGACCCCGAGGGTGTGGAGACCCCTCGGACTCCTCAGGTGCCAACCCAGGCCCAGCTGGGGGCTGAGCACACCCCACACAAGGCCCCCCACTGTCAGACAGCGGGGGTGCCCCACCCTGTGGGGCTGTGCTCCTGGGAAGGCGGAGGTCAAGGAGGCTTCCTCTGCCCCTGCCGCCTGCCTGGTCTCACGGGACGGGACGCTCCCGAGGCCTGGGGCTGTGGTCCCGGTACCCTGGGGCACCCAGACCCACTGAAAGCTAAGCTCTGAGGCGCTTCGTCTCTGTGTGAGTCTGAGGCCTTTCATGACTAAATACGCTTTTATGTACACTGAGTTTTTACAAAAGCTGCTCGCTGAGAATCCCAGCACTCCCGCCCTCGTCCGTCTGAATTCCCTTGCCTTCCATGACCCTGGTCCTCCTGCTGACCTCCCAGAGGGCTGTGACACCGGCCCTGGGATGAGCTGGTGGCCACACTCAGGTGCCCGAGGGTGGAGGCCCCAGGTGAGCCTCTTCCGCATCCCTCACACAGGCCTCGGGGCCTGAGCCTTAGGCCGGGTCCTGTGCGGGCAGGAGTCCTCGCTGCCCACCGTGGGGTCACTACTTCCTGTCTTCCTCTGGAAGAGGCTGTCAGGTTAAGCTGGGGACCTTGAGCACTGGCCACTGGCATCCATCGGTGAGCGTGCTGACCTCAGTCTGCTTTGGCCAGCAAGGGTCCTGCAGGGAAACAGCCCTCACGTAGCCACTCCTCATATCCGCCTGGACCTGTGGGCACCAGTGTCTCCACATGCGTCATGCCAGGGGGCACTGCTGTTCACTGTCCTGCGGCCAGCTGTGGCATCCCCACAGGGCCTCCCGTGGCGCTCTGCCTGTCGGGGCACTTCCTTCTGGCCGCCAGGGAGTCCGGTCTCACACCTGCCCTCCGGCCTTGCCCCAACTCTTGCCCCACCTCTCCACAGAAGGGCCTTGTGGGCATGACTGGGCGTTTCCTTCACGCTGAGCTTTTGCTGTCATCGGTTCTGTGGCTTTTAGCACACTCACGGAGTTGTGCAGTTTTCCTCTCTCAGTTCCAGGACATTCCACCATGCCAGGGGAAGCGCCATCCCCATCAACAATCACCCACCCTCTGTGGCCCCACAGACCCACTCTCTGGCTCTGGCTGTGCCCGAGCTGGTGTGTCTCCTCCGTGGACTCGCCGCGGGGCTCGTGGGTCTGGCTTCTCTCCCGAGCATTGTGTGTTCAGGGCCCGCCCCGCCGCCGCTTAGCAGCCTTCAGAACTTCACTCCCTGTCACCGGTGATGCTCCAGCGCGTGAATGGGTGCAGCGTAGTTATGTGTTCTGTCCACTTTTGTCGTTATTTCTTCCTTTTTATCTTTGTGGCTCATGCTGCTGTGGACATCTGCACCCGGTTTTGTGCGAACATGGGTTCCAGATCGGACTGAGTCGGAGAGGCTTCTGGGAAGCCTGTTGGGATCAGGGCTGGGGGTGAGGGGCCCAGACGCCTCCTCTGGCCCCAGCCGACAGGCTTGCTGCCCCTGCCCCTGCCTCCAGGCCCCCTCTGGTTCCGCCCCTCAACCCCCGGCTTCTGGAGTCCTGGCAGCGCCCACTCCCCCACTGCCCTCTCCCAAAGTCCCCCCATCCCTGTACACTTATTCCCTGGACAGCTGCTGCCCTGAGCCTTTGCCCAAGGCCCCTGGGGTCCCACATGGCAGAGCAGGTGTCACCCCCAGGGTCTCCTCCTGGCATCTCAGGTCTGAGTCTTACGTCCAGGTAGTGAGGTGCCAGAAGAGGCTTCTAGAAGCCAGGATGAGGTCACAGCTCAGAGCCGTGCTCTGCAAATGCTCGGCAGCTCCCCACAGCCACTTGAGGGGTGGACAGCACTGACCAAGCCACAGATGGATCTGAGCAGGGACCAGGCATCTCAGCTCACCTGCCCCGGGCCCACCAGGCTCTGAGAGTGAGCGAACTCCCCTCGCAGGTTAGGCCCTTGGTCCCCACCGACCATGCCATGAAACCCCTGCTCTGTGGGCGCACTGAGAGCCGCGGCCCAGCAGAAGCCTGGGGACCTCAAGGGGCTCCCCATTGCGGGTCTCGGCCCTAGGTGCCAGGAGGAGCCAGAGGCTGACTCGCCTCGCGAGCAGAAAGCCTGGGCCAAGGGCCAACCTTGGGGAGCAGGCCCCCTGCCCTCCGGACTGTGGGACCTGAAGGAGGTCTGTCCGACCCAAGGGTGGGCTGACCCCAGGGGTGGGCTGAGGGCGGCTTCCGGGAGGGCGGTGTGAGTGCGCAGGCTTAGCCCGCCTGGAAACGACAATGGCTCGAGGCCGCAGATCTTGCCTGCTTGGTTCTGGGGCCAGAAGTTGGATATCAAAGTTTCTGGGGATCGCACTTCCCCCCGGACCCCGAGGCTCCCCCGGCCCCCAGCAGGCGCTCCCCAGCCCGGACACCAGGCACCCCTCTCTGGGGCTGTGCCTGCCCTACGGCTCTCGCCAATGGGCTCGCTCCGCGTGGCCCGAGTGTCTGGCTTCTCGCCCCCAGTGTCGTGTGTTGGGGGCCTCTTGCTAGCAGAGGTCAGGAGCGGCCCCCTCTTGGTTCCTGTGCAGGCTGTCCGTGAGCAGACGCTCCCCGGCAGACTCCAGTCGTGCCCCTCAGGCTCTGTGTGCGGGCCCCCGCCTCAGCAGCACCGGGAGTGGAAGTGGCGGGCACGGCTGTGTGGAGGAGCTCGTCAGCTGCTTGCCCCGCAGGCCCCCAGCACTGGCAACAGGGGTGCAGAGGCCCCGCCCCTCCTCACTGGGCTTCTGTGCCGTCCCCCCGCCTGCAGCCTGGCCTCAAACGCCTCATAAGCACAAAACTGGGGTCAGTGCCTGCCTTCCGGGTTGGTTTTGCCCCTGGTTGTGACTTGGCCTCATTGCGGGGAGACCCTGGTAGTGGTGGCAGAGCGGAAGAGCCCCGTGGGGCCCTGTGAGCCTGCTCCCCGCAGAGCACGTGGAGGCCCATCCCACGGCGCCTGTTGGGGCTCTGGGCCCCCACTGGCGGCCCTTCCTGCCTGTCTTTGGAGCTCTGGGGCTCAGGGGCAGAAGGGGGGCTTCAGGCACAGCCAGCCCCCTCGGCTAGGGTGGGAGAGAAGGAGCGGTGGGGGCAGAGGCTGGGGGGGGCTGGCTGGGGCAGCTGGAAAGGCCCTGGGCCCCAGCTGAGGAGCTGCAGGCTAGGCTTGGGGTAGTGGGGTACACAGAGGGGTCTCCGTTTCCTCCCTGTGACATGCTGGCTGCGCCCCTCAGAGTCACTGCTGGCCACCCGACAGGCAGCCCTGGGCCCCTGCCAGGCTCACCTGGGCGAGGGGTGGGTGGGAGAGGACCTCGCCTGCCAGCTCTCTGGGGGAACGCAGACCCCTGGGCCCCGAGGGGCCCGGCCAGGGCCGGTGGGCAGGGCACGACCGCGGCCAGAGGGCAGGCAGCTGGGCATTGTTGACAGCAGCTGATTCCGCCCCGTACAGTAATTCTGCCTGGGCTGCCAGTAATCGCCCAGACCTACCAGGAGACATCATTTCCTGAAAGTCAGCCGGGCCTTAGGGGAAGTAGGCGCCGGCTGTGACTAACCCCACATGCAAATGCAGCCTGACTGAGCAGGTCCGCCCCAGTGGCCGCTGCCGGTCATGAGGGAGCCGCTCCGCCCGCCTTCCCGGGGACCGTCTGCTGTGCCATGTCCCAGCTGCACTTCTGGCTGCGGTTTGCAGCGCTCAACCAGGTAGCCTCCCTCCCGGCTGCCTCCCGCCAGGCGCCCCACCCTTTTCTTTGGCCCGAGAGGGAGTCTGCTGGCTTCCAGGGAGAGAGGAGAGAGCGGGCTGGGAGCGAGTGGCCAGTATGGCGGGGGTGGGGTGGCGCGCGTGTTGGGGGGAGTGGGGGTGGTGCCCAAACTGAAAGTGCCGGTGGCAGGTGGGAGGGCAACTTCAGGGCAGCTCTGAGCGCCGCCCGGCGGGTCCCCAGGCAGCAGGACCCCACGACTTGCATGTCCACAGCCCTGGGATGTCCCAGGACATCACGCTGCGGGAGCGAAGGCGGCAGGTTTAGATCCCTGTGGCTGGATGGGTGGGGATGGGCCCCAGTCCCTCCTGGGTCTCCCCATGAATCTGCCCCTCCCGGGGCAGGAGGGCGACCTACTGGGCTGCGACCTAGGGGGGCACTGCTGGGCAGCCTCACCTGGTCCCCCAGAACTGTTGGGGTCCCAGGAGGAGGCCCCGGGTGGGGCCACAGCCTGCAGGTGGTCCAGGGAGGGGAAACATGGTCTTGAGTGTTTGGGGCTCCAGTGATGACAGGGCTTATAGCTGGGGCGGTGCTCACGGAGGGCCCAGTCATTTTGGGGGGGCTGCTGCTGGCCGCTGCAGTCCCATAGCACCACTCACGTCCCCACCTGCTCCAGAGCTGGGAGGGACCCCGGGAGCCCCAGCTCTCCTGACCTCGGTGGCCTGCATGTGGCCTGGTCCCTTCAGCGGCCTCTGGCCCTCTGCTGCCTCCCCAGTCGGGGGCCCTGGGAGGTGCCTCTGCGGTTGGGCGCCTGGAGGATGTGGTGTCCACAGAGTGGAGGAGCTCGCCTTTCCACAGGCAGTGTAGTTGTGGACAGTATTAGATTTTCAGAATTCTGTGTAGCCAGTTCCGAGGGTCCCCTGCACCCACCCCCCAGCTCCCTCAGAAACCAGCACTGATACATCATCAGCCTGCTCCCCTGTCCCTGTGCTCCCCTGTCCCACGGCTGCTGAGGCCCTTGGGGCGGAGACCGGAGACGTCTCCCCCTCCCCTGGCTCTGCCGCCCCCCCTTAACCCCCCCAGCCCCAGGCAGTTGTGAGGGCCCTGGCGGGGTGTCCTGCAGGCCACCCTGGTCTGGGGTTCCTGGTTTCTCTCACGCCTGACTGGGCGGGGGGTTTGGGGGTCAGACGGGGCGGGGGGCTTGGGGGGCGGCCTGGGAGGGGACGTGCCCTCATGCCGGCGCGCCGGCGCGTCAGGGCTCCCGGCTGCTCACCGAGCGGCCCTCTGAAGCTGCCCGGGCCCCGGCCGAGGGCCTCCCTCTCCGCAGTCTCGTGGGAAGGCCGTGCTGCCCGCACAGGTCTGGGGGCCCCGAGCACCCACCTTTTGCCACGCTTCCTCCTCCCTCCTCACCAAGCCCTGCGACGACGCCCCCGCCCCCTGCTCGTGGCTGTTTGCCTCGGGAGCGGGGCCACCTCGCAGGGCCGGGTGGGCTGCTGGCCACCCCGAGCACCTGGCGCGGCGCCCCGGAGGCCGCATCTGAGCACGGCCTTTGCAGACGCACGGCTCCCTCTGCCCACCCAGCCAGTCCACGGGGGTCTCTGCCCCGTGTCGACTCCCAGGAACCACAGCCAGCCCCTGAGGCGCGGCCCTGCCTGTGGCCCCCCTCACTCAGAGGAGCCGCTCTCGTCCGGCTGCCGGGGTGGTGGGGCTCCCAGACCAAGCCCTCAGCGGCCCGGGTCAGCAGGCCGTGCACCCACGGCCACTGCTGTTTCCCGGGGGCTGCCCTGGACTCTCCGCCGAGGGTGCTGGGTGCCCTGGAGCCGTGAGCATGCCCCTTCTTGCTGGGGTTGGGGTTCTCCTGCCTTCGCTCAGACCTCAGAGCTGTTATGAACCCTACCAGCCAGTGCCCGCGCCCATCCTGCTGGCAGTGTCTGCCTCCTCGCCTGGACTTGTCCAGGCTGCGGCTCCAGCCCCTCTCTCCTCAAGGGGCCTTCTCGGAGCTGGTGGTGGGAGAGAGTGGAGGACGCGGAGACCCGCCCCTGCGGCCAGAATGGGCAAAACCAGAGAGCAGCCTGGCGGTCAGCGTTGCCCTTGTGTTGATGGAGGCCAGAGGCCAGGGGACCCTCTGACTCAGCCATCAGCTACCTCTGCCCCCCACACGGGTGCCCAGGGTGCCTCTGGCCAGTGCAGCTACCCCACGAGCCACCAGGGGGACCCCTGGCCTCTCACTACTTGCTCTTGCCGTCAGTTTGGTGCGAGCTGAGCCCCCTGAAGCAGGAATGTTTGTGTCCTGGCCAAAAGCCCTGAGGAAGCAGGGAGGTGTCACCCGGACATGCTGCCGCCCCCCAGGAAGCGATCTGCTCCACCAGATCACCGGGAGCCAGCCCCAGAAGCAGGACTGGGAGGGCGTGGGGGGCTGGTTCTTGGCGACCTGGGAGCTGCGGAGACGCCCCCCCACGGCCCCCCCCAGAAAACTGCGGAGCAAGCCAGGTGCACCCGGTGGCCTCCAGGCCCTGGGTTCCCCCTTCTCCCGGTGGCCACTGAGTCCCAGGCCCCAGGGTCTGACCAGTCAGCCTTGTCCGTTGGCTAGTGGGCCACAGGTGTACTTGGCGACCGATGGCTGAGGCCTGTGGCCTGTGGCCGTAATTGCTGCTGGGATCTGGGGGCTTCCTCCTTGGTGCCCTGCAGTGGACCCCGCCCTGCCTGGGAAGTGCCCTGACTGAGTATGGCAGATGCCCGTGCGCCCGGGCACTCTGTCGCCCCACCAGGCACGCTCCGGGGCGGGGTGGGGGCGCCCTGCCTGCGGGGACATCCAGTCTGCAAGGTGCATCCCGGTTCTTGCTCCTTCACAGCTGCGCTGCGTTCGTGTGTGGTCAGGCGTGTGCTGTCTCAGTGGATACTGCCCGGCTGCCCCTCACCTGGCTTGTCTTCCAGGAATCCTCATACCTCGAAGAACTCTCCCCCGCCTCCATCTTCTCCTCGTCTGTGGACTCCCTCTCAGACATCGCGGACACCCCTGACTTCCTGCCTGCCGATAGCCTCAGCCAGGTGCCCACCATCTGGGATGTGAACACTGGCCCCGCTGTGCCCGACAAGGTCAGTGCCCAGGGTGCCAGTCGCAGCTGTCCTGGCAGCTCGCGGGCTGCAGGGCTGCAACCCAGATGCAGGAGCCGGAGAAACTCCCTTCCTGGGCTCCTCGCCTCCCGCAGGGACAGGTCCGCCATGGCCAGGCCCTCACACCCCACCGCCATCCGCTGTGCCCTGCTCTGCGCCAGGCCCCTGGGGAGAGCAGCGCCTGCAACACCGGGCAGCGCTCAGAGTCACTGGGCAGGGGTGTCCCTGGCAGCGGGTGTGTGGAATCGGGGATACACCCCCACAGAGAAGACCCAGCCCCAAAGTCCACAGATCAAAGGGGAGGCCCCTGGCTAGAGAAACAAGGTCACGTGATGGGGCGGGTACAGGGGCCTCTGGACGCCCACTGCTTGGTTGAGGTCTGGAGGCGGCGTCACCAGCAAGGCAAAGACCCCGCGGCAGGGCCGCGCCCACCAGCTCTGCTGTCAGTGGTGGCAGCGGGCTGTGAGGGTGGCGGGGCCGGGCCTCAGAGCTGGGCAGTCCACTCAGCCAGCACAGCCAGCTGCGCCGCCCGCGCTCTGCCAGGGCTGTGGCCCTGGTGTGCGTCTGACGTTGCTGGTGGCTGGGCCCCAGGCAGGAGGAGCCAGCCTGGAGGGGTCAAGGTGAGCAGTGTGCCCGGCGTGCCGGGCCCAGTCCCGGGCAGCAGGGTCGCCAGGCCCGGAGCCCTCAGGTCTTTCCGAGGCCCCAGGCTCTGGGGGGGGAAGAAAGCGGGGTGGTGGGTTCTCCCAGAACTGTGTCGGGCGCCTCGGGACCTCCGGAGGGTGTTCCTGGCGGCAACTGAGTGGCGCCCCGCCTGGGGCACACACTCAGTAAATGTAGAAGGGGCACCCTGCCCGCCCCTTGGAGGGGCCTGAGCACCCCAGGCGGTGGTCCGCATGTGCCCACCTGAGAGTGTGCAACCCGGGGTGGCCCCAGCCTGGGTCGGCAAGGCAGGACGTCCTGAGCAGCCCTGGCTGCCCGGCTGGGCAGCCTCCGCTGGCCTGGGAGCAGCCCGAGCATGGTGGCACCGCCCACCTCTCCCCAGGGGCTTCGGGCAGAGTATGCGAGCTGCGGCCGCTGGGCGGTTGGACGGCATCTGAAGTCCAGGGCCTGCGCCCACCGCTCACCACCCTCCAGGAGCCCTGACTCAGCCTTCCAGGAACCTGGGCTGTTTGTTTGCTTAGTACGTTTTTTTAAAGGAGGGAGCCAAGGACAGGCTTCTGGCCTCCCTAAACCTCACTTTTGTCATGATTTTTTTTTTTTTAATTTAAAGATTTATTTCTGCTTATTTATGGACACAAGAATGGGGTGCGGGCTAGAGGTACGGAGGGTGAGACATTCACCAGAGACAGTGGGGCGCAGAACAGGCAGGCCCACTGAAGCCCACTGCCGAGGGGAGCAGCGGGGAGACAGGCGAGGTTTGCCGTGCCCTGTGGGTCCCTCGCTGGCCAGGAACCGAGCTCCGGCCATTGTGGCTGCAACAGCTTGATAGCACTGACACTGTAACCCCTGCCGGAGGCCCTCGTCCTCTTTTGTTTAAACCTCGGCTGTGTTCTGAGCCTTTGAAAGCCGTCGGTGAAGCAGATCAGACCACGAGGCTGAGCCCCCGTCACCTCCAGGTCTCCAGGGCAGAAGCAACGCTCATGTTTGGGCTTAAGAGAAAACTTGGTCCTTACGGGCTCTTAGGACGTGGTGTCTGGTGGCAGCCCGGAAGCGGCTGCCACGCGTGGTTCGCTTTTCATGGATGGGTTTTCCGCGTGATGCCTCAGCCCCGCTGTGCCCTGGCTGTGCATCTGGAGGGGCCAGCTTGGGGCCAGGTTGAGGGCCCGGTCCTGATGCAGCCACCAGACCTGGGCCCCAGCGCTGGCCCATCTGCAGGCTCTGAGGGCCACCAGGTGGGCCAGGTGCCCATGGGTGACCTGCCCCCCAAGGGCTGTGGCGCGGCCCATCCTGCCGGGTGAGACTCAGGCCCTCAGCCTCCCGGGGGAGCACTGGTGGGGCTGTCTGGGTCGTGCCGCTGCCCCGGCCGCCCCAAGATAGGCATCCCTGCAGAGCGCCGCCACCTTGGGGCTCCCTCACAGCAGGTCCTGACAGAACCCCGTGTGCTGGAGCGGGCCGGGCCGGGCGACACAGACTGGGGCCAGCATGCCAGGGTCAGAGGGCCCAGGTTGGCAAGCCCATCCCCTGAGATGCCTGCTGCTTTGCCTGCCCTGCCAGCACAGTGGGGAGCCCCAGCCCCAAGTATCAGGCACACCCCCTGAGAGTGCTACACAGTGGGTCTCAGCCACAGCCCTGCCCTCTGCCCGCCCCTAAAGGGTGGCACTGGCTGGCAGGGGCGGCCGGGCACTCCCTCCCCGCGGCGGCCTGCTAACGTCACCCCTCTCCTCTAGCAGTTCCCACCCAGCGGGCCCTTCACAGGCCTTGAGGACCCCGTGCTCGCCCTTCCCAGCACCCCACTTCTTGTCAGCTACCAGGTGAGCTGACCCCTTCGCCAGCCCTGCCCACCCATCCGGGACTCAACATCCAGGGGGTGGGAGGGCACCTCAGGGGCCAGACCCGGCCGCTCAGAACGGGGACGGCCAGTGTTCCAGAGGGCACGTGGGTGTCGGGATGTAGCAGGCTCTGTCCCCGTCACTCCATCCCTGGCTGGTCCCTGCCCCTTGAGGGGAAGCAGGCTGCTGGGGGTCAGGATCGCCCTCTACCTGACACCCCAACTTCAGTCTCAGAGTCAGCCTGAGGAGGAGGATGAGGCTGAGGAGGACGAGGCAGAGTTGCTGGGGCACGCGGAGACCTACTCGGACTACGCGCCTTCCAAGTGTGAGTGTCCCCCGGCCCCCGCAGGGCCGGCGAGGGGCTGCAGTGCCCTGGCCGCTCCTGGGCGTGGGCTAGTCGGCACTTCCTCAGGCGGCCGAGCGCCAGCGAGTGAGACAAAGCCGGCCGCACCCGTCTGCCCAGCCGGCACTGTGTGGATCTGGGCCCTCCCTGCCCAGAGCTGCGGGCCCCTCTGCTGACCCCTGCCTCAGTCACGCCCTCCCGCTCCTTGACCTCCCCCTGGCCACCCCCTTTCAGCCAAGATCGGGAAGCAGCACCCTGACCGGGTGGTGGAGACCAGCACACTGTCCAGTGTCCCGCCGCCGGATATCACCTACACGCTCGCCCTGCCCGCCTCGGACAGCGGGGCCCTGTCCGCCCTGCAGCTGGAGGCCATCACCTATGCCTGTCAGGTACCGGGTCTCCCCGGCCCACCCGCACGGGTCTCAGTGGGGCCCCTGAGGAGCAGCCCAGACCCTGACCTCCGCCCGCCACCCGCAGCAACACGAGGTCCTGCTGACCAGTGGGCAGCGGGCCGGCTTCCTCATCGGCGACGGGGCCGGCGTGGGCAAGGGGCGCACGGTGGCTGGCATCATCTTTGAAAACTACCTGCGGGGCCGGAAGAAGTCCCTGTGGTGAGCACCTAGCCGAGCCCCGCCTGTGGTGGGTGGGGACAGGGCCTTGACCCCACGCTCCTGCACCCCAGGTTCAGCGTATCCAATGATCTCAAGTATGACGCAGAGCGTGACCTGCGGGACATCGAGGCCCCCGACATTTCGGTGCACGCGCTGAGCAAGGTGGGCGGGGCTCGCCGCTGGCCCCTCCTCTCCGAGGAGGGTTCTGGAACCCAGGGCTCGGGATCATGGGCACGCCTCGTCCCTGTCCTGGCACGCCAGGGCCGCAGCCCCCGGCCGCGCCATGAGCCCTGTGTGCGTCCGCCCCCTCCGCAGATCAAGTACGGCGACACCACTGCCTCAGAGGGCGTCCTCTTTGCCACCTACTCCTCCCTGATCGGGGAGAGCCAGGCCGGCGGGCAGCACCGCACACGCATCAAGCAGATCCTGGAGTGGTGCGGCGAGGCCTTCGACGGCGTGGTATCCTGGCCAGCGGGGAGCCGGGTGGGAGGGCCGGGGAGGAGCAGGGCGCCGGCCTCTCTAGTGTGGGGCCCTCAGGGCTCAGGCGAGGCCCCGTCCTGTGGCCCTGGGGCCCCGTGAGCTGGCTGGACGCCACTGGCCTGGCACGGCTGGTGGAGAAGGCGTAGGGCACGGAGCACGTCTCCTGCCCCTTGGACACCCCCCGTGGGCCTGTGGTCCGGAGCGGAGCGGCAGCCCACCTGGCTTCCTCCCAAAGCTCAGATGCTGCTTCTGGCCGTCGGTCTGTGGGAAAGCAGAGTGCGGGCAAGCGGGGCAGCCCCGCGCCTGGCCCTTCCTTGCTGCGGACGTGCCTCCTGCAGGGTCCTCGGCCTCCCCTCAGCCCAGGTGGGGTCTCCGTGCGACCTTCCTGGCTTGGCGGGGCGCATCTGCCACCGGCGGGGCGCTGGGCCCTGTGTGCCAGTCTGGTGGCTTCGCCACTGCCTTAGATTTGGCCCGGAACGAGGCTCCCTCCAGGGTGTCCCTCGTCCTTTCTTTCTGCTAGGGATGGCTAGGAAGTAGGGTGACCTGCTCCCAAGGCCACCGGCACGCCTGGCCCCTGCTTCGAGTTACTGACAAGGGGCGCGCGGGCCCGGTGTGCCCCTCTTGTGCACAAGGCGAGTGGCAGACTCACTGTCGGGCCCTCGCTTCGGGCCTCCGCGGTCAGAACAGAGCAGACGCCAGCTAGCCACGACCGAGAGACGCCCCCTAGCGGCTGCGTGCGCACGGCACAAGCTGGGCCGGCCGGGCCTGCGATTTCCCGCGGCTCGGCTGGACGCCCCCTGTGCCCACCCAGCAGGCTTGCTCCCTGTAAAATGCCAAGACCTCCTGTGTCTTGTTTTGCTTCACCTGTGGGCTTTAAGCAGATTGCTAGGTTCATGTGCAGTCGTGACCAAGCCCGACTCCCAGCGGCCTCTGGGTGGGCCAGCGGGCACAGCCCCCCTCCGGCCAGGCCCCTCTCGGATGCCCCGTGACTGAGTCTGTTGTGAAGGCCACACGCCACGCCGAGACGGCTGCCCGGCGGTGGCCTGCCATGCCCGAGCCCCGTGACCTCGGGGCGCGCCTGGCGGCTGCCCTCCCAGAAAAGCGTGGGCCCCGGGGCTGCGAGTTCCCACAGCCGCCTTAACCCGCGCCTCAGATTGTGTTTGATGAGTGCCATAAGGCCAAGAACGCCAGCTCCACCAAGATGGGCAAGGCCGTGCTGGACCTGCAGAACAAGCTGCCCCTGGCCAGGGTGGTGTACGCCAGCGCCACAGGTGAGGCGTGCCGCTGCCGGGGAGGGGTCTCGCCTCATGCACCGTCGTCGGCGAGCGGTGTCTGCTGCGGCGCAGTGTGGGTGGGGACCTGTGTGCTGTCCACTGGCCTTGTCAGCCCGCACCCCACCCTTACCGTGGGCCCTGTGGCATCTTGGAGCCTGGCCCAGGAATCCGCTGTCCCTGTCGGGCTTCGCCTCTGCTGACTGGCGCTAGTCACTGCACAGCCCTGGCCAGTCTGGGCCTCTGAACCGGGCCGAGACCCGGCCTCACTGGTTCAGGCGCTGACAGCGTCCTCCTCAGGTGCCTCCGAGCCACGGAACATGATCTACATGAGCCGCCTCGGCATCTGGGGTGAGGGCACGTCCTTCCACACTTTTGAGGATTTCCTGCATGCCATCGAGAAGAGGTGCGCTCCTGCCCGCCCGCGGTGGGCGCTGGGAGGGACCCAGGGGCCTGCCGCGCACACGCTGCCTGCTTCAGCTGCCTGCTGCTCCCCACTCTGGCACGGTCAGAGCCCCCCTTGCCCAGCTGTAGCCAGGGCCGTCGCCTGTGCTCTCTACGCCCGCCCCTTCCGCACACCCCGGGACTCGGCCGGGGTGTCAGCCCCTCCCCAGAGCTGCTCCACCCCTCCGTGGGGCCCAGTTCCGGCTTGGCCAGGTCTGGCCCGCGCCAAGGTGGCTGTGTCCCGTCCGCAGGGGTGTGGGCGCCATGGAGATCGTGGCCATGGAGATGAAGGTCAGCGGCATGTACATCGCACGCCAGCTCAGCTTCTCTGGGGTCACCTTCCGCATCGAGGAGATCCCCCTGGCCCCCGACTTCGAGCGCATCTACAACCGAGCGGCTCTGTTGGTGAGTGGCTGGAGTGGGGCGGCTGCGGCCTCCGGCTGGCCGACGGCGTGGGGTTCCGGCGTTGCGTGGGGTTACGCCCTGGCCCTTCGGTGCCCTTCACCCTGGCTTAAAGAGCTTCACAGAGTAACGTGCCCCCCCACCGTGCCGGCGGCCTGGCCGGTCTCACCATGGTGTGGCCAGCGCACGGTCTGGCCCCTTGATGTCCCGAGTATCGGCCCCGCAGTGGCTCCTGGGGTCCTGCTCCCCCTCCCACCCCCAACACTGCCCTGAGCAGAGGCAAGCTGGGTGTGTCGTTGCAGTGGGCCGAGGCCCTGGGCGTGTTCCAGCAGGCAGCGGACTGGATCGGCCTGGAGTCCCGCAAATCCCTGTGGGGCCAGTTCTGGTCAGCCCACCAGCGCTTCTTCAAGTACCTGTGTGTGGCTGCCAAGGTGCAGCGGCTGGTGGAGCTGGCCCGCCAGGAGCTGGCCCGGGACAAGGTGAGCTGGCAGCCCCGTGCTGCGTGTGCTGCCAGCCCCGGGGCGGCCGGGCTCAGGCCACGGGCACCCCTCCCTCCCTGCGCTGGGGGCGAGTGGTGGGGCTGGGCACCTGCCCCCTCTGCTCGCAGTGGCAAGTGAGCCTCAGCGCGGCCGGGCAGGGGAGAAACTGAGCAGACCGCGGTTTGCACCGCGGAGGGCCAGGCCTGGGGCCGGGCGCTTCCCTGTGGCCCCTCGGGGCCGCGCTCCAGGACTGGTGAGAGAGCGGTCACCAGTCCTTTCCCCCAAACCCGCAGTGTGTGGTCATCGGACTGCAGTCCACAGGCGAGGCGCGGACCCGTGAGGTGCTGGACGAGAAGGACGGACAGCTAGACTGCTTTGTTTCGGCTGCCGAGTGAGTGACGCTGAGCCCGTTTCTTTCTTTCCTTTTTTATAAGGGTTATTTTTACTTATTATGCATAGAACAGGGCTGTTGGGGGAGGGTGGTGAGAGGATTCGCCAGAGACAGGTGGGGAGAAAGCCACTGCTGCGGGGAGACAGGAGAGGTCTGCTGTGCTGTGTGGGTCACTCCGTGACCGCGATCACACTCGGGCCACCAGGGAGGCCCCTGTGGCCCCATTTCTGAGTGACCCCAGAAGGTGGTCCTGCGTCCTGTGGGCCAAGCTAATGGCCGGCCCTGCCGGTGGCCCACCCCAGCCGCGGGGACTAGCTCGGCGCGGGGCCCTTGCTGTTCCTGCTCCCCCAGAGCCCCTGAAGGCCTGCATCCGGCAGGTGTGCCCCCTTGCTGCAGGAACCCCGCCTGCTGCCAGGCGTCCCCCACGGAGCAGGCACACGCCCGCACCTCAGGGGTCCTGCCCTGTGGCGTGACCCATGCTCAGCAGGCCCTCGCTTCTGCCTTCAGGGGCGTCTTTCTGTCGCTGATTCAGAAGCACTTTCCTTCGACCAAGAGGAAGCGGGACAGAGCCAGCAGTAAGAGAAAACGTAAGCACCCTGCTGCGCCCCGCCCCACCCAAGCTGTGGCCCTCAGGGGACTTCCTCCCACTTTCTTGGGGTGCTCTGCCGCGCCATCTCCTCTCGCCTGCTGTGCGTCCCTAGATCGGGCACAGCCAGTCTGGTTGCCCCCCCTCTCTGACCCCCACCCCAGGCATGGACCAGGTGTCAGCCCTGGGGCAGTGAGGCCCCTGGGCCAAGCAGCTAGCCTGAGGTCACACAGCCAGAACTGGGGTACAGAGCTGGGCCCCAAATGGGTCTGTCCAGCTGAGCCCTCGCCTGCCCACCCGCCCTCCCGTCCCCCGGGACCAGCCTTCTGGATGTGCTGACAATGACTGTGTGACATATGGCTCCTGGACCATTGCCCCCTTGGGGAGCCCCGAGTCTGCAGCCTCCCCGGGTGCCTCCTGAGGATAAATTGCTATGTCAGAAGTGAGAAAATGACCACGTGGCACGGGCCGTAGCCCGGTGCAGGACCCGGAAGGCAGCCTAAGTCAAAGGAGCGAAGGGCAGAGCGGGCGGAGCGAGCACCCGGCACAGCGCCCGCCCGGACAGCCCCTTCCCCGCTAGGGACCTGCGCGAGCCCGCCCTGCAGGCAGCACCGCAGGCCAGGCCTCACTGACCCTGCTCTGCGCAGGACGGCCGCGGGGCCGCGGGGCCAAGGCTCCCCGGCTGGTGTGCGAGGCAGGCGTGATCCGCATCAGTGACGACAGCAGCACGGAGTCCGACGCCGGCCTGGACAGTGACTTCCACTCCTCCCCCGAGTCCCTGGCCGACGACGATGTGGTCATCGTGGACACTGTTGGGTTCCCAGCAGAGGACCGCGGTAGGCGCTTCCAGTGGTCTCCCAGGGTGGGGCCTGGCCCAGGGAGGCTGGGGAGAGGCCGGGGAAGGCTCACGGGGCCGGGGGTCAGAGCGCCTCCCCGCTCTGCAGTCCGGGCACTCGGCCCTGACCCGTCTTCCCGCTTCACCCCGCTCGGCATCTGCCTGTCCTGCCGGCCTCGTCCCCCCAGCCTGCCTCCTTGTGTTTGTGCCCACGGGGTGATCAGGGATGCCACCAACCTGCGGTCACAGTGGGCCTGGGGTACAGGCTGGACTGATGAGCTGATCTGGGGCAATAAGCACAATGACCAGCGTCCTGGGCCCTCCATGTCGCCGGTGCACCTGGCTGCCCCCCAGTGTACCCCCACTCCCCACGTTCCCCTCGACCTTACTGCCCAAGACCGAGTCCCACTGCGGTGGGGCTGTGAGCAGCGCGACCTGACTGTGCTCCCTCCTGACCCCCGACCCCCACAGGCCCTCTGTATCCCCCACAGCGGGACCTGCACGGCCCCGGGGTCCTGGAGCAAGTGGAACGGCTGAAGCAGGACTTGCTGGACAAGGTTCGGGCGCTGGGCCAAGAGCTGCCATTCAACACCCTGGACGAGCTCATCAAACAACTGGGGGGCCCTGAGCGGGTGGCCGAGGTGAGCCCGAGGGGTGCCCCTATTGGGTACTGTCCTGCTGCCCTCCCGTCACTGGCAGCCGGGCCCCCACATGCAGGGCCCAGGCCCTGTGCCCACCCCCACACCCGAGTGTGCCGGCTCCCTGGTCTTTCCCCCGCACCGCGCTCTCAGGCGCCCCCCCACGCTCACCTGCTCTAAGCTGACTCAGTGTAACCCCTGCCATGTGCCCTGGGGCAGCCAGAGCCCTGACCCAAGGCCAAGCTGTTGTCCTCAGCCCACCACACGTACCTGGGAACCCAGGGTCCCGGCAGGAAGATGGGGAAACTGAGGCACGGCGACCAGCCACTGTGTGGCCACACTGACTGACAGTTATCTCCTTGCCCCTGAATTCAATGGCCACAGATGACCGGCAGGAAGGGCCGCGTGGTGTCCAGGTCCAACGGGACGGTGGCTTTTGAGTCACGGGCAGAGCAAGGCCTGTCCATCGACCACGTGAACCTCAGGGAAAAGGAGCGCTTCATGAGCGGCGAGAAGGTGGGGTCCCGGGGGCCCTGGTGTGGAGCTGTGAGCACGGGTTTCCCGCTCGCTCGCTCCCCTGGGCCTGGGAGAGAGCCGAGGGGGCCCTGGCTGGCAAGGGCGGCCCCAGGACACGAGCACGTCTGTCCTCTGCCGTCACGCACGTGTGTGCGCTGCCTGTTGACGCACGTGTCCGGGGCCACGGGCCTCCCTGGCTAGGCCGACGCTCTGCACCGCTCTGCAGAGTAGGTGTGGGGCGCTGGTGTGATGTGGGGCGGCAGGTGCACCTCAGGGTGACCTGGGGCTCCGGCCTCAGACAGGCTGCGCCCCAGGCTCACGTGCCTGAGCTGGCCGTGTGGGTCCCCGGTCAGTGCGCCCAGGTGACACTGCCCGGGCGCACGGGCGGCGAGCACCAGCAGTCCCTGCCACTCACCACCCTGTCTCCTTTTGCAGCTCGTGGCCATCATCTCCGAGGCCTCCAGCTCCGGCGTGTCTCTCCAAGCTGACCGAAGGGTCCAGAACCAGCGGCGCCGGGTCCACATGACGCTGGAACTGCCTTGGAGTGCAGACCGGGCCATCCAGCAGTTCGGTGAGCCCCGCGCCTCCCAGGCAGGCCCAGCTGACCCACCCCCGAGAGCTTGTGCCTGAGAGCCCCCCTCTGCCTCCAGGCCGGACCCACCGGTCCAACCAGGTGTCGGCCCCAGAGTACGTGTTCCTCATCTCGGAGCTGGCCGGGGAGCGCAGGTTTGCCTCCATCGTAGCCAAGCGGCTGGAGAGCCTGGTGAGCTGGGCGGTGGACAGGGGCTGGCCCAAGGAAGGGTGCTGGCTGGGGGCTGGCCCGGAGGGGCGGGCGGGCCTGAGGCAGGGAGGAGTGTGGGACACGTGCCATGGCCTCCCCACCCCCAGGGGGCGCTGACCCACGGGGACCGCCGTGCCACTGAGTCCCGCGACTTGAGCAAGTACAACTTTGAGAATAAGGTGCCCGGAGGGATGGGGAGGGCCGGCGGGGAGGGGTCGGGGTGCAAGCTCAGTGTCCGACCTGGCCCATCCCTTCTTCCCCCAGTACGGTGCCCGGGCCCTCGGCTGCATTCTCGCCACTATCCTGAGCCAGACAGAGAACAAGGTGCCGCTGCCCCAGGGCTACCCCGGAGGGGACGCTGCCTTCTTCAGAGGTGAGCTGGAGGCCGGTGGACGGTCCCCCCAAGGCGCAGGGCAGCGGGCCTGGAGTGACTAGGGTGATGGGATTTATGAATTGGTTTTACAGACACTGGTTTTGTGTGCACACGGACAGAAGGGGGCAGTGATGGTGAGGGGCAGCCTGGGGGTGGGGCCCGGGGGGCAGAGAACAGCTGCGCCCCTTCCTTTGCAGACATGAAGCAGGGCCTGCTGTCGGTTGGCATCGGCGGGCGGGAATCCAGGTCCGGCTGCCTGGACGTGGAGAAGGGTGAGTCCCTTGCACGGCAGCCCAGTGGGCCCCTCACACCTCCCAGCGGGGCTGGGCGGGCCCAAAGCTCTGCACACAGCTGAGGCTCCCGCCCTCCTGCCAGACTGCTCCATCACCAAGTTTCTGAACCGCATCTTGGGGCTGGAGGTGCACAAGCAGAACGCGCTGTTCCAGTACTTCTCCGACACCTTCGACCACCTCATTGACGTGGACAAGAAGGAGGGAAAATATGACATGGGCATCCTGGGTGAGCCGCGGCCGGCCGCTCCCGCCTCTCGGAATGCTGCCGGGCAAGGCCGGTGGCCAGGCACTGGCTGGTGGGGGCCTTCCAGCATGGGGGTGGCCTCCCCCAGATGGGGGCACTGAGGCAGTGGCGGGGGCACAGGCCAGGAAGGGGCAGGACTTGGGCCCTGAGATCAGCGCAGCTCGGCGGAGCCACGGGGCCTCCCTTTGGGGTTTCCCTCGACGGCGCTGTGCCTGCAGGAGACACTCCTGAAGGGAGCAGAGCCTGTGTTTTAGCTGCGGGTCCAGACAGCCTCACTGCTGACCCCAGACGAGGAGGTTCAAGTCCAGAGTCCTCAGCGGGGTGTGGCTGTGTGACTGACTCTTCCTAAGATCAGTGTCAGGGGGTTTGCTGGTTCCCAGCTGAACCAGTGCCAAGCAGGAGGGTGCTGAGGTGTGTTGCGGTCATGTCCGGTGTGAATGGTCAGCCAGTGGTGAGCCCCCGAGCCCCCAGACGGGAGGAGCCCCTCGCCATCCAGAGTACTGGGCCCATGAAGGTCTGGCTGTCTCTGCTTCGGGCCCTCTGCTGTGCTCCCCGGGGGTCACTCCAGGGGACACCTGAGAATTTGGGGTTGCCCAGAACCTGGAGTAGCCGACGCTGCTTGCCCTCCCCAGACCTGGCTCCAGGCATCGATGAGATCTATGAGGAAAGCCAGCAGGTGTTCCGGACCCCCGGTCACCCACAGGACGGGCAAGTCATCTTCTACAAGGTGAGCAGAAGCTGGTCCTGCCCCAGCCCTCCGGGCCGGGCCGGGCCCAGCTGCCCCTGACCTGTCCATGCCCTGGTAGATCAGCGTGGACCGTGGCATGAAGTGGGGCGAGGCGTACGCCAGGTCGTTGGAGCTGAAAGGCGCCTATGACGGTTTCTACCTCTCCTACAAGGTGGGTGGCCTGTGCCCCCCAGACAGAACCCTGGGCCGCAAGGTGTCGGGAGGGACTGGCCCCACACGGCCACGGGGATCCAGCCTCACCCACACCCCTGCCCAGGTACGTGGCAACAAGCCGAGCTGCCTGCTGGCGGAGCAGAACCGCGGCAAACACTTCACCGTGTACAAGCCCAACATCGGCCGGCAGAGCCAGCTGGAGACCCTGGACGGCCTGTGCCGGAAGTTCCACCCGGTAGGGGCGGGCACGGGGCCCACTGGGAAGGAAGGCAGGGCGCAGGCGAGGCGGCCGCGGCGGGGTCTCGCGTCCCGTGCCCCTGCGGCCCCTCCCCGGCAAGCGCTCCCGCAGCCCCAGGCCGGTCCCCCGTGCCCAGCACACCTGGTCACCAGGATGGGGCTTAGCCAAAGGAGGGGGCTTCCTGGGACACTCAGGCCCGTGAAGCGTGGGGGTGCCCTCTGAGCGTCTCGCGGCGCTGTCCCCAGGTGACGGCGGAGGTGGCCAGGGAGCACTGGGAGAGCAGCTACGCCTTCTCGCTGTCACACTGCAGCCACACCGCGTGGTGAGCGCCGGCCAGCCCACCCTGTCCTGCCCTGCCCTCTGGGCTGCCCCGAGGGATGGTCCCCACGCGGCGGGGTGCGGTGGGCAGGGGCGCCCACACCCGGGACCCCAGAGGGGGCGGTTCCGCAGCGGGGACAGGCAGACTAGTCGTGGAGGGGAGGCGGGAGCGTGGCGGGCTGACGCCGCCCCCCGCAGGAACCAGCACTGCCGGCTGGCGCAGGAGGGCAAGGACTGCGTGCAGGGCCTGCGGCTGCGGCACCACTACATGCTGTGCGGGGCCCTCCTGCGCGTGTGGGGCCGCATCGCCAGCGTCGTGGCGGACGTCACCAGCAGCAGCTACCTGCAGATTGTGCGTCTCAAGACCAAGGACAAGAAGAAGCAAGTTGGTGAGCAGAGACGCACCCTGGGGGGAGGGGCGTGCCCGCTCAGCCTCACCCGTGCGGCCCCGCGTGTCCGCAGGCATCAAGATTCCGGAGGGCTGCGTGCCCCGCGTGCTGCAGGAGCTGCAGCTCATGGATGCCGACGTCACGCGCAAGAACGCCCAAGGCGCCCCTGGGCCGCCAGCGCCGCCCGCTTCGCTCCCGCTCGCCCTGCCCGGTGGCCCTGGTGAGGTCCTGGACCTCACCTACAGCCCGCCCGCCCAGGCCTTCCCGCCACCCGCCCCCTTCACCTTTCCCCCGCAGCCCCTGGACCCCATGCCCGGGACCACGCCCTGCGGGCTGCTCTTGGCCGCGCGCACCCCGGCAGACCCCTCAGCTCTTCTGAACCAGGGCTGTGACATCAACTTCAAGGAGGTGCTGAGGGACATGTTTCTTCGCCCCTTCCCCGTGGCACCCACAGAGTCCGCTGGCCCTCTGGGGGGCGGCGCGGGGGCAGCAGGCTTGCCGGCCGGGGCCAGCGGGGGCCGAGAGCGGCAGAGCGTCATCCAGTTCAGCCCCCCCTTCCCGAACTCCTAGGCCGGCGCCGCGCCCTCCAGGAGAGACGTGTTATCTGTAACCGGCGCCCAGTCTGCTCGGCCGCGCCCTCCCCTCCTGCCGTGGGTGGTGAGCAGAGGCCCGGCTCCCCTGTTGACTACTGAGAGGGAGGGGCGCCTGGCACCCCTCAGCCGCCTCCCCAGGCCTCACTGCAGTGCCTTCCCCTCCCGGCGCCACGAGCAGGGCCTGGGCCCTAGTTGGCTCCAGGCCTGGGCAGCACCCGTGCGCGCCCGTGGCGGAGGGGGGGACGCCCTTTGTGCCTCTCCTGCCCTCCCAGCCCAGGCTGGGTGTGTCCACCCACACACCTCAAAAGGCCAGGCCCAAACTCCTATAATCTGAGAAACTGGGTGGCCCCAAGAGCTATAAACTCAGGAAATCCCAGGTGCTCAGGGCCCCGCCGACTCTAGGGGGGGTTCAACGGGGCAGTTCCCCCACTAATATATGCAATCCCCCTTGCTCTCTCTGCTCTTTAAATTATTACCCGGCCGCCTCACCCCGGCCTCGGATTCTTCCGTGCAGAGTTGGTGGGGTGGGCATCCCTTGGTTTCTATATGTATTTATAACGAATTCAGGTGTACATATGTAAAGAGATTTTTTAAATATATGTGCCTTTTCACTATGTTCTATCCTGTCTCCTCCCCTCTGTAGGCAGTTGAGGAGCGTGGGGTGCCGCTGTGCATTCACACTGGCGACTGCCCAGCTCTGGGAGGGTAGGATGGGAGCCCCCAGCCTCACCCAGGCCTCACTGTACCACCTCAGTCCCCTTCACAAGGGCTCACCCTGGCCTCTCCCAACATGCCTGTCCAGGGAAGGGATGCCCACCTGCACCCTGGGGGCCACTGTCCATGGTGGGACCCTGATTGAGGTGCAGCAGGCTGGGCCAACTCAGGGACAGGCAAGATCAGACCCTGGTCGCCAGCTGGCAGACCTACCTGGGGATGCTCGCAGGGGGGGTGCTGATACCCATTCCTTGGACAGCCCCCCACCCCCTGAAACTGAAGGACTGTGGCCTCCGTGTCCATTCCACAGGGCTTCCTCTCGGTTCATTTTAGCAAACGGGAGGGCCCCAGCTTCTGAAGGCAGCAGCAGACACCAGGCTGTTTGGGAAGCTCTGGGGTTACGCTTGGCCTCTATTCAAAAACTAGAAGGGGCCACCCCCATGCACTGGGCGCAAGCCAGAACCTCCCTCTCTGACCTTGGGAGCTCCCACAGGCCCTGGCTCAGGGCCTCCCTGACTGCAGGCAGTGCCCGCGGAGCCCCTGAGAGCAGCGGCTGCTACCGCTCATGCCCTCAAGCCCCCCTCAACCCCTTCTTGGCTGGGGGGCTGCAGACAGCACCCTGCTGCCCCAGGGGAGCCCCTGCAGAGCCAGGGCCCAGGTCCCAGCCCTTCTGTCTGGGCGCCGGGTTAGGGCGGAGGCCCTGGGTGGCCCTGAGCGGCCACCTCCCGGAGGACCGAGGGCCCTGCCTGCAGAGGCGGCCGCGCAAAAGGGACAGCCTCGGGGGCGTGGGCTGTTGGGGCCAGCTGCGCCTCACTGGCCCGGACCCACACCTGCGGGGACAGCCCCTCAGAACCCCCAGGGCCTCTACCTCCCACCCCATCACCCGATAACCCTACCCCGAACGCAGGAGGGCCTGGGTAGTCTCGCCCACCCTCCAGAAAGGCAGGAAGTCCCAGCAGGCCAATTTGTGTGTTTTATTCCCACAAGGCAGCCAGAGTGGGGTGCAGCTGCCGAGCCTGGAGCCAGACCGAGGGACCTTCTTCCGGCAGGGGTGCACGCCAGGTTCTCAGGTTTGCCTCACCAGTAGGCTGGTTTTTAGGCAGACCGTCATGGGTGCCGGCTGGAAGGTTCCGAGGGGCGCAGGCAGGAGGCTCGGGTGGGGGGCACACACTTGTGGAGCTAAAAGTAGCAGGGCAAGTCCTTCTCTATCACCTGTGGGGAAGAGGGGGGTCAGAGACACCTCTTCCCAGGCGCGCCCCCAGCTGGCCCCCTCAAGGCACCTACCAGGGGCTCTTCCATGGGGCCATAGCGCTTCACCACACAGCCGTTCTTGTCAATGAGGAACTGCACAGAGAGGCCGTTTCAGGGCAGCGGACACGGTGAGGGCTGCAAGGGGGCTGGGGGCAAGCAGCAGCCCCCACCCGCTGCTCATCTGGGCCAGGGCTTGCACGCATGGGGCGGGGAGGGGCAGGCGCTGAATAAAGGGTGCTGGGCAGGACAGTCCAGGCCCCACCTCCAGCCCTCCTTACCTTGGTGAAGTTCCACTTGATGGCACTACAAAAGGAGAGCTGAGTGTGAGCAGCTGCAGGGCACCTGCCCCCATCCGGACCTCCCCGCCAGTCCCCGACTCACTTTCCCAGGATGCCCCTCCCTTTGGGCTGGACTTTCATCCACTTCCACAGTGGGTGGGCATCATCCCCATTTACACAGATCTTGCTAAACATATCGAATTTGACGTTATAGCCGGCAGCAAACTCTTTGATCTCGGCGTTACTCCCTGGCTCCTGTGGAAATGGGGGGGCAACGGGTCGTGGGGAGGCGCGTACACCTTTCAGCCCCGGTGATGCCCCAAAAGACCCAGATCCTCCGACCCCCGCCCACCCTGACCTCCACCTGCTGGGACCCAGGGGGCAGATATGACCACGAACCTGCCTTCCGAACTGGTTGCAGGGGAAGGCCAGGATCCGTAAACCACACTCGGCATATCTGGCGTGCAGGTCGACAAGCTGAGTGTAATTTACGTCTGTTTTGCCTCATTGTGAGGCCACGTTGGTGACGATGCACACGAAACCCCTGGAAGGCAGGATGGGGTTATTCGGCAACATCCCGCAGATCTTTCCTCTGCCTACCACTCCCAGATGGGCCAGCAGACTCACCGGTACTTGTCCAGGGCAACCATGCGCCCGTCGATGTCCTTGGCTGAGAACTCGTGCATAGAGGTTGCACAGCGCCAGTCATCGCGGGATGCGCACTGCAAAGCAAAGGCAGGCTGAGCCGCAGGGGGCCCGCGGGGCCCAGGGCGCCAGGCCCACCGCCCCGTCTGGGGTCCCCAGTGGAGGAAGAGCACCCGGGTGATTGGCACTGCCGGGAAAACCACGGCCGTGGGGCAAGGAAAAGAGAGCTCCTCCCCTCACACACGCCCCTGCACAGCTCTGACTTAGGATCCCAGTGGGTTCGGGACCCAGCCCGGTGCCAAACAGGCGGGGGTAGGAGCGCGCTGCCAGCGGTTATGAGGGTCCCGCGCACACCGGGTCTTGGGACTGAGGCTGGTGGTCGTTCGGCCACATCGTGGGCGCGACATGCCCCACATTGCCCGGACAGGGCTTCTTCCTCCCGGGGTTGGCGCGCCTTCGGCGGCGGGCGGGGGCCTTC